CTATCTATACTTTTCTCTATATTTCTCAGCATGGTCATATTTATATTTAACTACATCTTTCTTTCTAATTTCTTTCTTTCTAATTTCTTTCTTTCTATTTCAGTTTGTTAATATCAATATATTTCCAACTGTTCACGTTTATTTATCTCAGTCTGTCCAGAAGAACAAATAAAGCAAAAACAACATTTAACAAAAGAAAATATGCGATGAGTCAACGTAAAACAAACACACGGAAAATAAGATGGAATATCAGAAAGACAGCCGCATCCTAACAGTTTCATTACAAAACGATATCACCTTTGTATTGAGAAAACGAAGATAATCTCCTTCAGCGAAAAAAAGTTAAACTCCTAAGCAAAAGATCAGAACTCATTTCCAAACAGTGACACCCACCAAACATTTTGTTACATTACTACCGCCACATCATGACCAAAGAGACTAAATAAAAACCCCTGATCCCAAATCTAATAAACTTTATTCCAAATATCATAACTTACATCCAAAGAAAAAGCGCACACACACACACACACACACACACACACACACATATATATATATATATATATATATATATATATATATATATATATATAACTGTGTATTTAAGCAGCAAACCTTCATTTAAAGATGTTTCATTAAAGATGATAGACAAGGTAGTGAGATTAAACTTTTTTTATTTTGTACGAATAAGTGCTTCCTTTTTGGGGCACAGAGTGTGTAGATACTGTCCAAATGTTCTATAATTACGAGGGCTTTCGGATATAATTTTAGCCATTATCAAGGATGATTTTATTTTTGCTTTTTAATTGGGTTGTGTGTATGTTTCTAGAGTTAAAGGGATGTTTTATTTTCTGTGTCCAGAAAAGAAAACTCTAATCTCTGTCGTTTCTAATGATATATATATATATATATATATATATATATTTATTTCTTTTTTTTCTTTTTATGTGAGTTATGAGATTTTTGAATGTATAAATATATATATATATATATATATATATATATATATGTACTTATATATATATACATTTTGCATGTATATATATATATATATATGTGTGTGTGTGTGTGTAAATAAATGTAAGTTGATATATATATATATATATATATATATATATATGTGTGTGTGTGTGTGTGTGTGTGTGTGTGTTTAAATAAATGTAAGTTCATATATATATACTCGGTAAGGAGCCTGTTTAATGTTTCCCTCAAGTTCCTTCATCTCTCAATGATATCAATATATATATATATATATATATATATATATATATGTGTGTGTGTGTGTGTGTGTGTGTGTGTGTGTGTGTGTGTGTGTATGTATATATATATATATATATATATATATATATATATATATATATAAACAGCTATCGAAGGATAAATTGTCGTTTAAATTACGCAGAAATGAAAATACTACTGATGTTTAAATTTCACACATATATTTGCAAAAATTACGCAGACATATTTAGAAATACTAGAGTAAATTTATTTAATAAAATCGCCACTGGCTTCAGCCGCTGTCTTCAGACAAACCCTGCAAATATTCTGGATAGTCTACTTGTTTAACTTGCTGAATGCTGCCATATTCTTTGCCTTCAGTTCATATTTGATGTTACCAGGTGTTTTGCTGGTCTCTTGCTCAACTGCAACCCACACATCGAGCATCAAGGGATTTCCCGTCTGTGAAGTTAGGTGGCCAGATGTAAGGGGTGATGTTGTCGCAGAAATTGTCTGTCAGCTATGACTGTGTTTTCCTGCTTCAACGTCTAGCAGCCACCCTCTTGACCCAAGGCAGCCTCTAAATCCTCAGGGCACTTGATGTAGGCCTCCGTCAGAGGCCATGTGAGAAGATGAATGTAGGCATAACGTCGCCATTACTCGTGATATCTCCTGACACCATCGTAATCAGCATTAAACTCATTCAACTCTTTCTTAATTCTCTGATTGACATCCAAACACTCTGAAACTTTCGTATTGAAGCTTTCGGCGTGAATGCCAAGCAGTTCAAGCAACCGATTTCAAATTTCTGGCGGAGTCAGTTGCATCACTGTGCACCTTTTCCCACAGACGACGATGCCCAATGTGACACCATGCATACCTGACGAGCTGAGAGAAATATTCATAGATATATGATTTGTTTTTTACGGTTTATCAACCATTTAATAATTATTTAAGGCCGAAAAATATTTTGGGTTTTAAGAATAATTCTTTCTTTACATTCAAGCGATCTGGAAGAAAGAAAGAGAAAACGAAGAAGAAAGAAAGAAAAAATAATACGAAAACAGGTCATAGGCGAGCACACACACGCACGGCTGACAGATAACAGGTGTCGAAAAATATTCATGTCAAGCATCTGACCGATTTCCGCGGATCCGCGAGAAATGGAAGTTTGTTATCAATTGGTTGTCACCCAAGTGGGAAAGTGTGTCATTGGAATGATAGTAAAGGCCTAAGTGGGTGGGGAAGTGTATCTGAGGATATGAAGACAAACCATTAATACGAAAACATAGACAGTCTTCAGAATTAGAAAAAGCCCACACAAGGTGTTGCCGCTGAAAAAAAATTTTTTGAGATAATAAAGATTTTTATTATCAGACCTTCGAGCGGAGGGAAATTGAAATATTTTTATTCCGTTTCAGAAACGCCAACGAGTCTGAGAAATTCCTTTCTTAGATCATATCCAATTAGCGATAAACTGCTTGACAAATACCACGTGTTAAAAAGCCGAAGGTGTCATCTTAGTCGCTAATGATAAGGGCGATTTAAATTAATATTTTTTTTTTTAAGCAAGGTATTTCTTTTCCCAAAACAAAGCCATGGATTGTCCACGCCCGACTAAAGACGTCATTGGCTAAATAAGATCACATGACACACGAAGGGGAGGAAAGATACCCGACCAGGACCTCATTGGCCGAGAGCGGTCACGTGACGCACGAGGAGAATCGGTCGACGCCCTGTCAGGAGTGTAAGTGTAAGGAGCCGATACGAAGAAGCGGGGAAGCGGGTACACGCCCTCAGAGGCACAGTAAGGGAGTGGGGAGTGAGAATGAGTTACCGAAAATGGAAAAGAATGAAAAATCCCTAACCAGAAATAAGAAGGTGGATACGTATTTAGAATTATCGAAGAAACCCCTGGCGCCGACAGACCCACCCCAGTTTTCACTGCGTCAATAAAAGCGAGACCCCAACCGACAGAAATCAGAGTTCACCCGCGGACGGCAAGCGGAGGGCACCGCGGACGGCGGCCCGAGTTCGGTCGCCCACTTTGCGGGCAAGAGAGGCCAGTTCGTTTGGCCTAAGTGAAGAAGTTCGCCCGACCCAAGCCGAAGAGAAGAAGTTAGTTCGCGCACCGACGGCGGGGATGAGTGACCAGTAATTCAGACTCCGAAGAGAAGAAGTTAGTTCGCGCACCGACGGCGGAGATGAGTGACCAGTAATTCAGATTCCGAAGAGAAGAAGTTCGTTCGCGCACCGACGGCGGAGATGAGTGACCAGTAATTCAGACTCTGGAGAGAATTAGTTCGCGCACCGACGGCGGAGATGAGTGACCAGTAATTCAGACTCTGGAGAGAAGGAGTTCAGTTCGTTCGACCCAAGCCGGAGAGAAGAAGTCAGATTGAGCCACGGACCCTGGCGAGAAGTTTTGAACCTTGGACGACAAGCAGAGATGAGCGCCCAGTGTTGAAACCGCGTCAAGATAGCTGACCAAGATTCACGCACACTTCTGGACTCTTCTTCAACCAAGAACAAGTAGTTTGAAGAACGACTTAGAATCAAGACCACAGAAATAAGTTTTTTTTTTCGACTTTCGTCCAAAGACACACCGAAACACAAATTTCTTAGAGAGCAGACAACTTGAAGCCTTAAAGTTGCCTAGTAAAAAGGTCGTGCCACAATCCACAGAACGGGTCGGGAAGTACACATAGTCCTATGTACTGAGCAAATAGACATAAAAAGTTTGTTACCTTTTTTCTTTGATACGTTGGATCTTGTGAGTTTTATTTTATTTTCTTTTATACATAATTGTGTGTTATCACCCCCGTTGGACTCAACTTGCATTACAGCCCCAACCCCTGTTTGATCTCGTCTGTCTAAGATCAATTCACAACGTGGGTAGGCAGACTGGAGATCAGTGCAATTACTCTGGTAACCAGGCGTTGGAAGCGGGTTGGGAACGGCGAGGCTGGTATCAATCTAACCAAAGGTTTAGAACGTCACGTTTGGAGCAGCGAGGAGCGAACAGCTGACGCCGCGGCGAAGACGTCACAGTTGGTGCTGCCCGTGACCAGGATATCAGAGCCTGGGGAGCACGTGACGTCACAATTGGCGCCGCGACCGGGGGACGACCTCACACCAACTTTACCTACTGTACGGTGCAGTCGACAAAATAAAAAATAATCAAGGCGCATGCGAGAAATTAAACACAAAATATGGCGACAAATCACGCATCTCTCTCTCTCGCTTTCACTCTCGCTCTTTCTGTATACACACACACACACACACACACACACATATATATATATATATATATATATATATATATATATATAAAGGTACTAGAAAAATTGCTTCCACATATAGTCCAGTGCTGTTCCTATACACATGCATAAATACATACACACACACTATCTCGCACTCACACACGGACACACACGCACGCACACACACACATATATTTATATATATATATATATATATATATATATATATAAATGTGCATAAATATGTATCTGTCTATGCAAATGAATTGTTTCTGAAGCTAAAAATCTAGGAATATCACACAGACACACACACACCTATATATTTATATATGTATATATATATATATATATATATATATATATATATATATATATATAGATAGATAGATAGATAGATAGATAGATAGATAATGTGTGTGTCTGTGTGTCTCTATTTAGTTTGTTCATATCTCTCTAACAATTTGTTATCTATGCATTTAATATTCATATATATTGTTTAATATCTATCAACCTCATTCATTTCATATTTATCTATTTCCTCTCTTCATATATATATATATATATATATATATATATATGCATGTGTGTATACAGACGCACACACACACACACACACACACATATATATAT